CACCAGCCCCCCCGGCCCGTAGGTACGCTCCAGTCGTTCATGGCTGCTGCTCGGGGTGGGGGAAAACAAGCCGTCTAACGACGTAAGATCCCAAAAGCTCTTTATGCAGGAATATGTCAAGTTTAAAAATTGGTAAGTCCAATACACGGTCGACCGGCGCGCGCGCGCATCCGTCTGTCCATTTGTCTGTTCCGCTTCTTGTGCTTCTCGCAAGTCGCACGGTCCGTAAGCGCGAAGGTTGTGCCGTCTCGCTCGATTATTTCTCCTTTTCGCAAGATAGAGAGACAGAGAAGGAGAAAGTAGGGAACCACGGTCCCTCGTCAGTTGAGTCAGTGTCGCTTCGGCCAGTCAATTTTCTCTCGGTGATACCTCGCCGACCTCGCTGTCGCCGGTGGTTTTCCGATTCGCCGGTGTCCTCGCTAAGTTCGCTAACATGGTGTGAATCACGATTGATTGTGCGCGCGGATGCGACACCGGGCATTTCTCGTACACATAACATAACACACACGGCGGGATTCGTCCTCGTGCTTCTCGCCGAGATGCTTCGCTCGCTTTTTTCGTAGCTTTTCATTAGATTACGTTTGCTACTTGCGCGAGACATACCCGTACCGGAAGGAGAGACTTCGGATTGACGCGATCAGCTTTATTTCAAGTGCCCATCAGCTTCGAGGGATTCGCATTCGTATCTCTTATGTTTTACGCAAAATCGAATCGTAAGTTTTAATAGTTACATCGGTGCGACAGATCGTCGCTCAAGAATGACGTTTGATTGATCCTTTAGAATTTGGGATCACACGTCACTTCCGACACTCTCCTTCCTCTCGGAATGCGGAGGGATCTTTCACAGATAAGATATAGGATAGAAAAGCAGGGAGAAATATATATATTATTGTATACATATCGTACATTTTGTTTAACGAAAATGAATTTCTGTCGAGCCTTTATTTGATTGGGAGAATTAAATTACTAGATTGACACAAAGATAATACATATTTCCTCTTAGTTATACTGATAAATATGTTAAATATATCAGTTACGTATATTTCTCGTACCATTTGTTAATTATTAGCTTAAGTAATACATTTCTTTATTAGTATATAGTAGCACATTTATTGTCTATTGCATGAATATACATTTGTATTATAGTATCTCTCGTGGTAGATTATGCACTGTCTATAGAAGTATTATTATATTAGCATAACTGTCACTCAATTCAAGTAACATGATAAGCGATATGATGATCACTGATTTATACAGCTTATAGCAGTTTCCAACTGGTTTAATGATATTATTTACATGGTATTGAGTCACTTGTATTTATAAATAATTTTTTTTTGTTACAGCAATTTTGTTATTTATCGTGACAGTGTCATTTCAGTTATAGAATACATTGCATGTTTATAGAAGAATAAAGATTTTAGAAAAGTAGACAGGCATACCATAGAGTGAATCTTCGACGTATTTGTATTTCATTTTTTTTTATCATAATGTCCTTGATTCTTTTGTATAACTTCAAACTCGTTATTCAAAATTATATACTGACATGAATGTCATTATTGTAATAAGTATCTTGCACAGTTATAAAATGACCGTTATTATGAACTTTCTTAGAAACTTTGTAATTTTTTGAAAGTCGCAAATATCATTCTGGGATGCATAATGCACTCTATGACATGCGTAGCTCTTTAAGTACTATAATAAAAATGAAGTTTTATACTCTGATAATCTCGTGCTAATGATCGTTTATTTTGTTTTCCCCCAAAGTGTTGGTAATGCACTTGCTTGCGCTACCCTTGAGAACGATGGATTCTGACCAAAGAAATCAGCAGGTGCATCAGCACTGAACAAAAAAAAAAAGCAAAAACTAAATAATGAATGCCTGCTGCACTCACGCCGTCAACTCTGTACAAGCAGACTTAAAAGATTTGTTGAAGTAGTACGTGAGTAGCAGCTACTCACGCCACACTCAGCTGTACATACAAAATCTAAATACATATATATATCGTCATACATATATATGTATTTATTTTTACGCACATGGCAGCCATGAAGCATGGTACGTTTTATTTTTGTACGCTTTGCTTTGTATGTAAATTTTCCTTTCGATTCACATATCTCGATGACGTTTTCATCAGGTCCACACACATGAGTATTACTTTGATCATAACTTGTTCTTGTGTACCTTGATAAATTTTATTGTACATTTCTCGATCCCTCTGAGAATATTGAGGATTTTTATTTTCGTATTATCTTTGACATTCGATCTCAAATTGGATTGCTGCGTTAATAATAGATTTTGCATTGATTGTGATTTGTTGCGTAAATTATTGAAGTATATTGTAATTTGTGTGGTGATTAAGAACAGTAAGTTTGGTTCTGTCTCGTATGTCTTATTATCAAAAATAGTATATATGAACCTGATGATCTTGTATAATTTTATTTTAAGTTATAACGGTAAACTTTCTTGATATTCAAAAATTATCGAAATCAGAGTTGGAAATTGATAAATCATAATAGTGCTTGTAATAAATATCACGTACGTACTAAACGATCATTAAACAAACATTAATAAAAGTGAAATAGTTTAACATAATCATTTCTTACGCACATTTATTACATGTACATACAATGTACAATGATAATAATCGTGATATATTTCAGGCAAGACGAGTCAAGACGACGTTTGTTACGTTGTCGCCAAATATGATTATGGGGCACAGGGTGCCCAAGAGCTAGATTTACGTAAGAATGATCGTTATTTGCTGCTGGATGATTCAAAGCATTGGTGGCGAGTGCAGAGCGCGAGAGGACAGGCGGGCTATGTACCAAGCAACTATGTTAAGAAGGAGAAGCCCTCGTTGTTCGATAGTATTAAGAAGAAGGTCAAAAAGGGCTCTGGCTCTAAGACCCTACCATCCAGTAACTCGCCGTCCCGAGCGGTCGAATCCCCCATTATGGCGCGACGTCTGCCGGCCGATCCGAGTGAGGCGATCGGTACCGCAGTCGTCAAGTACAATTATCAGGCGCAGCAGGCGGACGAGTTGTCCCTCGTGAAGGGCACCAGAATTCTGATACTCGAGAAGAGCAATGATGGCTGGTGGCGGGGTCAAAGCGGCACTCAGGCCGGCTGGTTTCCATCAAATTACACCCAGGAGGAAGGCGATGCCGACGACACGCTTCATACATATGCGATGGCCGAAAATGTGCTCGACATCGTGGTGGCTCTCTATTCGTTCTCGTCTAACAACGATCAAGAGCTGTCGTTTGAAAAGGGCGATCGCCTTGAGATCCTCGATCGTCCACCGGCGGATCCCGAGTGGTACAAGGCGAGAAACAGTCAGGGACAAGTCGGACTGGTACCGCGCAATTATCTCCAGGAGCTCAGCGAGTACTTGACACAACCGTACCGTGAGCGTGGTATGACGAGTAGCGAGATCAGCCAGGGGGATTCTCTCGAACGAAGGCCGGATCCCGGGGATCGACCGCATCTCGTCGGTAAGCCTTGGTACTATGGTAGTATTACGCGCTCGCAATGCGACACGCTGCTCAATCAACACGGTCACGACGGAGATTTCCTAATCAGGGATAGTGAAACCAACGTGAGTATAGCGACTGCTACTGTCACGATTAAATCAGAACCTCGTTCTTAGTTGGCTTTAGCAAATTTTCGACGAGGTGTAATCAGTTATTTTGTATCTTTTATCCAAGTTTATTTACTCTATATAATTTTATGTATATATATAAAATTTCTACCTATATTTCAATAAAAGTCGCACATCTCTAAAATTTGATTAAACTCCAAAAATTTACTCAATTCGCAATTAATTTAACGAAACGAGTATAGCGAGAATGATGTTATTGCTCGTCGCTCTAATTATTGTCAATTTTTAGATGGGCGATTATTCGGTATCCTTGAAAGCACCAGGACGTAACAAGCACTTTAGGGTACACGTGGAAGGAGCACTATACTGCATCGGTCAGAGGAAGTTCCACACGCTAGATCAGCTTGTAGATCATTATCAGAGGGCCCCAATCTACACCAATAAACAGGGAGAGAAGTTGTATTTGGTGCGCCCACTACCAAAAGGCAATGCCAGTAGCAACGGTTGCTAGATGAATTCGTGCCATGAAGAAGGAGACAGTCCATGCGCTTTCAGATGTATCGCTAAGATACGCGACGCCTGCCTAGTAATATCAATATCATTCATCTCGTACGTTTATACAATAACAATTAATATAATTGGTCTACTCATATATTAGTGTTTCTCGATTGTTTTCACCATTTATACAGTGAAATATAATTTATTACTCTAAGTGAATCGGTAACTCGTATTACACTCCTCGGAGCTTCCAGATTACTCAGCAAACAAACAAAGAAACATTAATACGGCAGCTACGTGAACTAATTGACAACACAAGGCTTATCTTTATATTCATATTATAATTGTAAAACGCGAATCGACTGTTATTACGATTAATAATATATTACAACTGCATATAATATAGACTGCAAGTGTAATGATCAAGTAATAATTAATTATCATGCAATTATGAACGATTAAGTGGATCTCTACTCTAGAGCTATTGGTATTGAATTATAACAAAGACTAAGTGTTCATTTGTGATTTTGTATTTATATTAGAAGTTTTTAAGTAAATAAACTGTATTTAAGTGTGCATAAGACAAAATGTATCCTCTTAACTTGTTTCCTTTGTCTATTTTTAATAATAGGTACAATACAGATACGTATGCATTTCGAATTGTTACGCTACAATAAACCTTTTATTTCTTTTCCAACAAACACATCGTCATTACTACGTTGCAGAATTAGTTTTTTAGATACATATATGTTGTTAAGAAAAATAAATGGAAAAAAAAAGATTCTCATATAAAAATTAACGCCAAGAAGTTGGAAGTATCGCCAAGTAACATTCACGATTAGTAACAAATATTAATCTTTATTAACGTGTATATTATATATTCATAAATAAAAGTATTATTCTTTTTTATTTATATAGATATGAGATTGGTGCTCCTGGGGATAAAAGTTAATGGCACTAATTGCCAATAAGGTCACGTATATAACAATTTGCCTAAATCTAAATAAATTTTAGTTCGCATTATTTGTTCGTAACTCCATTAAAAGCTTATGCGTACATAATCATAAGAAGGGGTTGTTTGAATTCCTTGTCATGTTACTTACTCCCGTGCCCACCTGTAACGATGATTAACGACAAATAAACAAAACTTATCGAGGAACAAATTTGTCGAATTCATTCACAGAGAATTCAAACAGAATTATGATTTACCATGAACGGATTTGCATGATATGCTGGTACTGTCGGTTGCCATACTTTGTTCGTTAACGGCGTCATGAGTTGACTTAATTGGAGTACGTCTCCATTGCTAGATGTGCCAATGCCAATCCATTGCGAATCTGAAAGTTTAATCTTTTCAGTATAAGACTAAACACTAACCGTTATTGTATATATAACTAAAATTGCTGACGATAAATATAAACACAATATTTCTACTGTTTATATCACTCTTGACTCCTGATTTTTTTTTATTTTGAAAAGATTAAAATAAATATAAATTAATAAAAAATTAATAAAAAATAATTTGGAAAATAATTGCGTTACATGAAAGTTGTAGTAGCTATATTTTTTAAGAATTTTAATTTAGAAATGAGTTTTCTCATATTTTACCATTATTTACAGGAAACTGAGTCGATTTAAATGGATTCACGGGGTTGTACAGAGAGCTATCGACGGATTGAGTATTATTGTTGACTATGTTCGCAGACGGCCGCCATAAATCACCACCCGTGAACGGGTTTGAAATGACGTGCGTTTGATTATTTACTCCTATACTCCATGTAGCATTTGGTGCTGCAATTGAGAATTTTATATGCTCTGAATGCTTCCTCTTCATAGGGCGATAAGAGTGTAATTAATCGGCGCTTTGTTCTAAACTTGCAAGCAATATTCACCATTTGAATTATTTGTATTCCATGTAGATGCAGACAAGGTTCCAGTCGTCTCTTCCTTCAATTGCGTTTGCTTCATCAATGAGTCTAAGTCTTTAAGTGCCGCGTAACGATCTTCCGAGGGTGGCGCGTGTATTCCATTCATGTTCATCGTGGCGTTTCCACCGACCTGATTAAACATTGCGGACGTTTCCATACCTCAATAATAAAATTGTTCATTATAAGACAAGCGTTGTTATAATTTCGGTATTCTAACGTAAGAGAGACAGAGACACTCTGATGACCGTTACTCACTCTTCGAGTTATTGAAGACTGGATTATTGTCAAAATTAGCGAAGAACGGCTGCGGTGCGATCGTCTGTTGACCGACCGGCGCCGTCGTCGTCGGGCAGAAGGGATCAGGAACTTTGCTAAAATCGGCGACGAAGTCCGTCGAGAAATTGTTGGAATTGTTTAACGCATCTGTGTTGCTCGGCTTCTGGCTGACCGGTGCGGGCAATGTCGTGGATGTTCCCAAGTTCGGTACCCTCGGAATGCTGCTCGTAGACTGTGACCTTGGCTGTGTCGTTATCGTATTTTGATTTGCGATTGACGGATCCAGATAATATCTTTTAAGCTCGTATTTGGCGCTCATCAGGTCCTTCATCTTTTGTTCGTCCTTAGTGTCCAAGTTCTGCGGGGAGTTTGAGTTCATCAGGCCCAGCCATATTCTCCTGCAGTACTCGTTGCCGTGCTCCTTTATGAAATCTATCTCATCCTGAGTGAATGTCGCCATTGAAATGGACTTTACCCTGTGTGGTGGAGTCAGGCCTCGTCTGGAAATGCAACACGAAGGCTTGTAGATCAGGATTCTGATTTATATTGACGCAGAGATCGGATTGATCAGGCAGGCGGGAAAATGTTGCTTATCGTGACGTGATTCGTGTGAACGCACACTTATAATTTCAGTTTTAAAAAATACAGGCGTCGTAATATCATTTCCACAAAAATATCAGCTCATCAGCAATAACAAAGAAATTTATCTTAAGGTCTGTTCTTATCGAAAAATATTCTAACTGGTAACAGATTATGTTTGTGCTTCACTCCAACTTACTGCACCAAGACAATATCAAGACGATATTGTACTAGCGTACCAATTCAAGATATTCGTCAAAAAAAGAATAGAGCTCTTGTAAGTATACCTACAGTTCCTTATAGTTGAACAAATTATCATCATTTGCGATATCTTTTTCACAAAAATATTTACAATAATTTTACGTCAGCTGATCAGCGATAACGGAGAAATATCTTGTATTTTGGGAATTGAGCGTTTCTACGCTTATCAATTCGGAATGATTTGTTAAAGAATGTGAAACATGAATAAGAAACAGAGAGGAGGGGGAATTCGCGGAAAATCAATGAGTGCTTAGCCATTGTAATTACGTCATACAGATATTTCTTTCTTCAAATCGCGGCTCGCCGTGGAATACTTTCGTCCCTCGGCTTACCGTACGTCAATCGTCAAGTTTCCGTGACGAATAATAACGAGGCTCGCGTGCTAGTAATACGTCATATAGGTTCGCAAATATAGTACAGTGAGATTTAAAAATCCGCACGTGCGCGCGTGTGCAGTGCAACGCGACCGTCTCGCGCAATGCGACTTGACCGATTAAAGAGCGCGAGTCGATAATCGGCACTTCGCGTATCGCGCGTAAGCGATCGCAGTTTCCCGGGTGGGAAACAAGAGAGATAAGAGATAGAGATCGAGAGAGCCAAGAAAGAAGAGAAACGAGGGGAAAAAGAGACGAGAATGAAAAATACATTTCCTTTTCTTTCGCGGCGCGCGTAATATTTTGACCGATGATAACTAGAACTGCGCACAAAGAAAACGTTGACGTCGACGTCGACGTCGCTGATAGCGCTAACTTCCTGACCATGGACGCTGCCGACGTTTTAACGCGATGACTCATTTCGTGCGCACAGTCTCTCCCTCGCTTTCTCTCCTTCTCTCTCTCTCTCTCTCTCTCTCTCTCTCTCTCTTCTTTCTCTTCTTCGCGTCGGAACGCAACGCTTACAAAGAGGACTGGAGGAGGCCTGTACACGTGTACGTCGCCCGAAGCGATTTTCACGCGGAGGCTGCGTCCCACATAAAAGGACATTTCTGAGGATAACGGCGGCGTGTTCACCAGGACCATCTGCCCGCTCGGCACGGATTTTCCCTCTTTCTATTTATAGTTGTCGCACGAATCAGAAACTAGGATTTGGAGCGCGGGATAGAGAGACGGCTACTCGCGATTATCGCGATACCATCGATCGTGACACCGCAGCTCGCTGACCTCGCCGTGTTCTCCGAGTTCCGATTCGCAGGGCTGAACCGTTGTTATGCCCTTCTCTAACAACGAGACCGTTCCGAGGGTGACCTGCGAATGCCTCAGGTTCCCCTAGGTTCGCATCCGAGATGACGATTGTATGACATTTGCCCAATGTCATGTCACGGGGAGGGGGGAGGGGGGGGCG